ATAGCAAAGTTAATAAAAGTCATAACAAGAAATGCATGGAACAACAGAGTATTCGACAGGCCGGCTACCTCTTGAGCACCGACTGCTGAGGCCACAGGCGGCCAAAAAGTACTCGTCGTAGAGCCATTTGAAGCTCAGGATGTAGTGCAGGGGTACTTGCTCTCGTACCCCTGAAGTAGAGTTCACCTTCGACTCTACTTTGAAGAGTCCTTTAACTAGGATCTCTTTCTTAGCCTTGGGGGGAACAGGCGGCATGCTGCGGCCGCCTGCAAGAAGGGGCGGATTCCTGTTCCACCTGTTGAAGCGCTTGTTCGGCTGTGTCTGAACTCTCAATGATGAGGAAGGTGCTCCGCCAGTCCTTCCATTTGTTTGCTTTACCTCTCGTCATGAGGTAGCCCCTGTGGCTCGTCAATTGATACCAGCCGGTACCGCCTGCCTTAGGGGTCCGGCTGAGGTAGTTCATGTGGGCGAAAGCCTCGAAGCTCGGCTCCACCCCGTGCAGTTCGCACCCGGCCACATAGCCGAGTACATTGACCCAGGAGTTCGGGGCTAACTGCCATAACCCCAACTCATACCCATCCAAGATCCGCTGAACAGCCGGATGTAGTGGGAAGCGCAGCCCAGCCTTGATGGCCGCCTCGTAGCAGCCAAAGCAGGCGCTATCATAACTGGTACAAGCCGGCCAGACGACTGTGTCTTCTGGATCCGGCACAAACACTAAAAAGCCGGGGCCCATTGTGTGGTTTGCGATAAAGCTCTCCACTTTCTCTTGCATGGCCGTGATCCGGCCCCGAGGTACCGTGCTGTAGTAGGGGGTATTTTGCTCTCGGTAAGAGGCGGATGGCTCCGCCCAATCGTCCCCCTTCTCAACTGCGTGAGAAAGCCTCGCCTCTTGCAGGCGACTGTTTTTCTCTTCTGTGTCCAAAGAAGCATGGCCAGAAGAGCTAGACTCGGAATCGTCCTCTGACGAGTCCGAAGAGGACGACTCCTCCCCTCTCCCGGAGGGGCCCGCCTCCTCTCCTTTAAAAGGAGCAGGAGAGAATGAAGAATTGTCAAATGTAAAAAGGGAAGGGGTCACTTTGACTCCTCCCTCAGAACTGCCGGCTTTCAAGCCGCTTTGTTTCACTTCCGCATCTGGCGCCTGGTCAGATGTTTCACTAATCGGCACCCTGTGGGAGGAGCCGTCTGAATTTGAGATCCTGACAGTCTTTTTTGTTCTGGCCATCATGCTCTGCATAGACACAGATACAGTTGGACTTTGTATAAAGGGCAAAGATGGGTCCAGAAAAGGGCAGGCGGCACTCCTAGTCCTAGATTCAGCCGTCCCCGGTGACCGACTGATCACTAACCTAGGTCGTGTCGTGTGCTTCCGTGGTGCCATTTCAAAAAAGAATAAAGAGAAAATTAAGAGTAAGAGAACCGACGGTTACCTGAACGAGTGACGGTTGATGAAGTTCTGAAAATCCTTTGCAGTCGGCTTGTCAGAGCAGGCGGTAGGCAGAAAGAGTCCAAAATGTCAGAGCAAGTTCAGGGGTCCGAATGTTCTCTCACAAAGTTCTCAAGTGTGAATGACTGAAGTCAACACTCCCTTATATATAGGCGAAGTGAGAAGGCGAAGGGTCACTTCCAGAATTCATAATTTGGGCGGGAGAATCTCTCGGCCTTTCGCCGAGTGACACCTGTAGCAGGCCGTCGCCTGTTACAGTGCGACACCTGTCACAGGTAACACATGACCAGTCACGTGCCACCTGTGAGGGGCAAATGATTAGGGGATTTTGCTCCCACCAATCGGAATGCGCCACGTGGGCCAATCAGGTCCTGCCAAGTGTCCCTCAGTGGAACTGTCAGGGCTTTCCACGTGGCACCCGCTTATTTGTCCACCTTGGACCTATTATGTCATGACACGTGGCATACTCCATGCCTAATGGAGAAACCGGCCACCAGGCCCAACTTCCGAGGGAAGCCCAATCAGCCCTAGGTTAACCTAAACCTAGGATTAGCACGTTTCCCAAGGTTATAAATACCTCCCTTAATCCTCATTAAGGGAGATTACATGAATAACAGGCTAATCACGCTAAAAAAGCAGATTACCTACATTAAACACTCTCACCTAGAGAGACCCAATCACTTTAATTTCCGCATTAATTACTCCTTAATCAAGTACTAACTTGACCGTTGGAGGCGGAGCTCCCACCACCAGGAGTCTCCGTTGTTTTGCAGATACAGGCGTCCGGTTCAGTCTCGGAATTGTAACTCTCCCGCGGGACATCAGAAAACCCCGAAACATTGCCCATACCCATAAAGGCCATAACCAAGTTTGATGGTTTTGGTTCCTTCCCATTCCTGGTACCCTGCCTTTTGCTCATCCCTACTTATTTCGACATCATTGCTGTGGTGCTATAGAAGAGGGGGTGGTGAAGAGAGGTTCAGGTGGAGATAATATAGATGGTTGCCTGATTTTTTTTATTCCTTTTTTAAGGTTGAAGTTTGAATGGAAGGATGGAAAACATGAGCATGATAGTGAAGGGTTGGAGAAGACGAACGTGGAGTGTAAGTGTGGACAACAATATGGTTGGGGGTTAATTGTATGAGGTTAGGGGCTTGCCTGGATTTAAGGGAGTTGTTAGAGGGATAATGATTAGGAGGGGATTTGTTAGGGGGAGTAATTAATGGAGGGAAACTGTTAAGAGGACTCATTTATAGTAAGTTTGGCACAAGATAACTTATTACTAGGGAAACTTATTCTTGTGTTTGGCATTACATGGAGCAGTCACTAGCTGCTAGTCCTGCTACTGCCTCCTGCACATTCTTCTTCTATAATTTTTTTTTTCCCTTAAAAATCATTTAAATTTTATTAATCCAATAAAATCATAAAATTAAAATCTGATTTACAAACATGAAATTTATCACAATATTATTGAGAAGTCAAAACAAACAAATCACATTTTTACATTTTTTCAACAAAATCACTTAAAAAATTCTCGTCCAAAAATTAAAAGTATGATAAATTTATGGTACAGTTATAACATAGTAATCTGAAAAACAAAAAAAAAATCTCACAGAAAAATCTCATCAAAAGAAAAAAAAAAGGAAGAAAAAAGCGTAAAAAGAGAAGTAGTTCAAAATTCAATTCGGTCCGTCATCAAAATTCATAAGTAAAAAAAATTTGAAGAAATCAAGTTAAAAATTGAAGTTAAATTTTTTGAAAATATTGAAAATCAAGACAATAATTTTTTTATAACTGAAAATCAAGGTCAAAATTGAAGTAAACTTGTAATAAATGAAAATTGAAATTAATAAATTATTGAATTAAAAAAAATCACTATACATTCCAGATCTGAAAACAAAATGATTTCATATTGCAATTTCATGGCTATGGGAGGAGAAAGAGAATCTGGGAACAGGTTGGAAAACGGGGGAAACAAAGAAAATGGGTAAGTTAGAATTTAACCGGGTAACTGATACCGGGGGAGGGGGGGTATATATTACCCTCATTTGAGGGGAAATTTTTACAGGGCCAAAAGATTAAACTCAATCTAGGCCAAGGTTACAAGCCCATACCCCTTTAAATTTTACCCTCCATTCCCCTCAATCCAGGCAGGGCCTAGGTATATAAAGATACGGTACTAAAATAAGGATGATAGTTAAATACTTATAATTATAAAAAAAAAAAAAAAAAAAAAAAAAAAAAATAGGTAAGGAATACGCTTGCAAGAAACGGCTTGCAATTCTTAATATTAAAAAGCTTTAAGAAATCACATATGTTAGAGCTCATGTTTTCAAGAAACGGCTAATATGTGGCCTAGCAATATCCCAATGATCATATTAAACATTGTATTGTAGCATTTGGCTGTTAATTATTTTGTTATAACCATTGTATAGATCTATATGTAATTCAGATTGGCTTGTGTGTTGTGTCATTTAAAAATAATGTCTTGCAATCAATACCTAGTGGTAATTAGCAAATAAGATAAGAAATATTCAGAAAGAAGTAAATTTGTACAAAATAAATACTCACTAATTCCAACTTGGATATATTTGTGTGGACTAAAAAAGGATAGCTAAGATTGGAAGACTTCTAACTAGCTCCTTCATGTCCATGAGTAAATTACGGGCAAGCAAATTAAAACATTTATAAAGTATTTGTTGCATCTAACTATAACTAACTTGCCTTGGATGGGTTGGCCCTTTGTTTTCAATAACAACTTATTTGGCCTACTCTTAAGTTTGACTCTTATGAAACATGTTCCATCTTTTCATTTTATGCATCATTACATGTAACGCGTTCCCAAAGCGAAAGGAAAAACGCGTCAAAGTAACCAGGCAAAGCGACTTACAAAAGGTGTTGTAAGTAGTGCTCGGGTCACTTTTGGGGAGACACAAAATGTGCGCCATGGGCTACTTTTTGTTTGATTATTATTAGGAGAAATAGTGAAACTTAAAAAGAAATTTTATGTGACTCACCTCCTACTTGCCTAACCAGATCACCCCGCATTGAATGCCACATAGTACACACCATGTTTCCCTCAAAAGTTACTTTTGATGTAGTAAATGATTCCCTATGTCACCCCACTAATGACTACAATCCTCCACTTTTCTACTCTATCCAACAACATACAACTACTATGAAATCTTAAACAGACATGGAAATGAAATTAGCATCACGACAACCATGATATGATCAACACAACTCCCGTGACATCACAACTATTCCCACAATCGCAACCGAATAATGTATTTGAATACTCCAAATTTTGTACACACAAACATCTTTTTGATAGGCATGTGCTCCCACAATCGCAACCGAAATACATATTTTAATGCTCCAAATCATTGACCTACTTTGAAATTAATTAACACCAAACCAATCTCCAAAGTCTGAAACACTAAGCAATAGGCATGCAGGTGACAAGAATTTAATACCTTTACTAGCCTATTCTACAAAAGAGGTGACAAAACTAAGTCGTATTTAGTAGAAAAAGCAAAGGATATAAGCTCACCTGACTTGCTTTGCACATGAAGCTTGAAAGAACCAAAATTTCTTCAAATGCAATCACCCTATCTATCTTTCCGCCAAAAATTCCCTCAAATCTCTGCCCATTCAAAACACAGCACAGCTCATTCTCATTTACTAGTATCCAAATAAACATTTGAAGTGAAAAGGGAAATGAAGCATAATCAACCCACCTTAAGCTGGACTACAAGTACATTTGGTGCCTGAAGAATGGACATTTGTTTCTTAGCAGCCACTAGTTTCTTGCATCTAAACAGGCAAAAGTTAATCACATAAACAGAGTAGAAGTGGATGATATGTATGAATATAAGTTAAGTGAAGGAAATAGCTCACCTCTCGCATTTGTATTTATTATTACCATCTAAAATTTCAGCCTGAAAAAATCTTTTCATGGCATCTTTAAGTGAACTGCAGTTGGATATTTCAAGGCAAATATCCATGATCTCATCGACCTTATTTGACTCAGTTCCACAAGAAAGGCATTTCACCTGACTTTGCAGAGAACCCCCAAATATCTCCTTCACAATGGAACCACCAACAAAACTCTCTCCTCCGCTTCCATTGGAAACTTTCCTAGCACGCTGCTGTTGCAATTTCTTCAAGCGAAGGCACGTGTTGTGGCAAGCATCAATGACATAGCGGAGGAACTCATGAGCATCTTCCTGCCTACCGCACTTAAAGTGCTCTGCAAACAACCTGAGGCAGCTGACAATCTTTGATGGTGTGTCAAGTGCTAAATCAAGGCTCAATGACCGAACAATCCTTTTCTCTAATATACAGAATGGGCAGTCTCGTTTTCTATCAGGCTCAGATGAAGAATCACCTGCACATATGATATGTAACCCATCAATTCCATAAAGAATTCCAGCAGCTAATTCGACTAAATCCAATGAACTAAACAATAAATTGTAGCAACTTTAACCCTTGCTAAAGCTTATATTGAAAAATATCACAGAAAAACATTCAAAAATTCTAATAATTAGCTAAATTACAAATCAACAAGTCCAATTAACACAAAAAGATGTTCATTGAATTACCTAATATGAGAAATCACCCACCATATAACTTAAACAATCGATTTCGAATTGTGTTCAAGAACAGGAATTTGCCAAATAATACTCTAGATAAGCTCAATTAGACAATAACAGAGAATTTAACACAAGCATAAAACAAATCCAATAAACTAATGGTGGCAAATAATAAACCTAATAAAACAATATCAAATTAATACATAAAAAACAGAAAAATTAACTGATGCAATCATACCAAACTCAACAATTAATCAAAAATCGATGAAAACAATCAACACAACAAATTCAAAAATTAACCACAACAAAAATCGAAACGAGAGATATAGAAAGACATACAATGAGAAGAATGTTGATTCTTGAGGCAAAAATTGGCAAGAGGAGGGGTATAAGTAAGACACTGAAGAACAGAATTAAGGTAACAGGAATTGCCGAGATTCTTTAACCCTAAAGGGCCGCCATTTTTGCGTTTTTGGTGAACAAGACTTGGCTGCCAACTCATTTGCAAGCCAGCCATCTAATAACAATATGACAACAACCACCATCGAAGAGAGAAAAACTCAAACTCTTCCTCGTCTTCGTCTTCGTCTTCGTCTTCGTTGTCACGTCTTCGCCCCTCATTGATCTTCAATTTCTACTTTCGGCTTCGCCACCGGAGCTTCTCCCGTGCACATCCGAATTGAAATAAGCTAGGGCCGTGTTAGGTTGATGCGGCCTTGTGACTGCGTGTGGCTGGCCGTGCAGTGGTGGGTGTTGATGGTGGTTGCGGCGGTGGTGGTTGGGCTCCCGTCGAATACAGCAGTAGCTTCTGCCGTTATAGACTCTTCGTCTCTCCCCCTCTTTTTGTCCTCTCTTTCTGTTTTGTTGTTTTGGTTGGGTTGTGTTTATGTGTGTAGTTTTAGGACTTGGGTTTTACAGTATTTTTTTTTTATTTTTCGAATTTATGTACTACGTAGAAAATACAATTTTATCTTATACTAATAATAATAAAGAAATTTTGTTTATTAAGTGTTAATTTCTGATCTAATCTATTTTTTTTGGGAAAAATTGCATTTATTAATCCCAACTTTGCACAATTTCATTTTATTAATCCCAACTTTGAAATATTCAATAATCCCAACTTTGATATGGGCTTTCATTCTTCAATCCCAAAAACCGGTAACCTGATGAAATGGTTAAATTTTTTTTTTAGACACGTGTCACTTGTTAATTGCTTCAAAAAATTAAAATAAATAAATTAAATTAAATAAATTAAGAAAAAACAAAAAAATCAATAATTAAAATTAAAAATTAAAAAACTGAAAAATTAAAATTAAAAAAAAAAATCCTCTCCTCCCTGCCAACCACCCCCATCCCCCTAGCCCAGCTAGAATCCGCCGCCACTTCGCAGAAACCTCCCCTTTCCCCCTTCCTCTCCGACGAAAACAACCACCTTCCTTCCCCCACCCCCAAAACTACCCCCTCTCTTCCCCCCCACCCCCGAAATCGCCTCAAACCAACCCCCAAGCATGCGCGAAACCACCACCCTCCCACCTGCCTCCCCGCTCGCGAAACCACCCCAACCTCCCTCCTTATCTTCTTTTCCACCTAGATTTGTAGTCGTTGGTGGTTTTGGTGGCGAAGGGGGCTGGAGTTTCAATGGTTGCGGGAGAAGTTAGGGGTGAAAATGGTGGCTTGATGGTGGTTTCAAGAGAAGAAGGTGGGGGCTGTGAGTGGTTTTGGGGAAAGAGAGTGAGGCTGCGAGTGGTTTTGGGGGAATTTGGTGGTTTTCGGTGGGATTGGAGAGGGAGATGGTGGTTTCCGGTGGGGGCTAGGGAGGAGGCGGTGGGGCTGCGGTGGGATGGAGGTGGCTGGCTGGTTTTTGTGGGTTTTGTTTTTTTTTTTTTTTTTTTTAAAAAAAAAAATAATTTGGACCAATCAGGACTTGACATGTGTCAAGTGACCTGGTGCAACAGGTTAAGAAACCGATTGGGTATGAGGAATAAAAGCCCATATCAAAGTTGGGATTATTGCAGAATATTCCAAAGTTGGGATTAATAAAATGAAATTGTGCAAAGTTGGGATTAATAAATGCAATTTTTCCTTTTTTTTATTAAACAAATCTATTCATTAATAGTAAAATCAATCAATCAATAAACGGGTTTTTCACCATAAACCCCTGAGTTTTTTGTTTATTCACCATATACCCATGAACTTTTAAAAATTCATCATATACCCCCCGAGTTTTCACAGAAATACACCATATACCCTTGATAACTAATGATTGTTAACTTTGTCAATTATTAGTTTTCACAGAATTTTGTGAGTGGTTGTAGAGAAGAGGATGTAATGTGGGTTGTTAAACTCATTCTTCAATATGTTAACGACGAACGAAGAAGGTAAGTATCAATTATACATAATTGATAATCGATTTTTTTTATTGAGGTTAAGCTAAGGATTACTGATTTGTATGTCTTAACTTAATGACTTTGGTTTAAGCTGTGTTTTTCAATTTTACTTAGCAATATTTGAGTTTCAATGTAATGAATATACATTAGTTAGTCCTTTGTTGTTTTATTTAGTATGGTTTAAGCTGGTTGGTTTTGTTAATTGGGTGTGGGAATGCGTGGGAGTTGGAGCTGGTGATGCGGTGAGGTGGCAAGCTGCTGGTTAATTGAAATGGTGGTGGCGCTGTGGGGGCGTGAAGTGGTGCTACGTGGGTAATTGAGAGGAGCAGGGGAGGTATATTGGTGTGAATAGTGGAACAGGGGATTAGTAGGGGAGGTGAGTTTCATTGGTGGTGTTGTTTCTTTGTTTAAATTTTGTTATTGAATTTTGGTTCGCGTGTGATTGCTATGTTAGTCATATTCAGCAGAGATGATCAGCAGAGAAAAGACATTGCCAAAAATATATATTTGCAATTCATGTTGACCAGTGACAATGGTAGATATAAGATCCTTGGGATAGACTAGCTTGAGTCTATCCTTGTTGTTAGTGAAATTACTTGTCTCTGGATATGAGGTTTCTTAGGTTAACACCTCCATACTATGATACTGAATACTATAATATTTGCATATTAGAAATTCTTTTGGTGGAATGCTTAGCACATACTCCTTTCTAGAAGTTTATACAAAACACAACATCTTCCTTTTAAAAGCCAAGTGGAATTATATTATAAACTCTTAATTCTAGTTTATTGGGATTTATAAATCATACAGACAAGAATTGTTTCATCCAATACAATATTTTACCAGATGGTGTTTATAGGATTTGCACACGGGTCGTCTTTTGCAACTTCAGTCTAAAGAAGATGAAATTATGAGCTTCAAAGAGAAATGATTGATTTTCCAAGGGAAAATACTAAATAAGTTCATATGTCATTAGAACAATAAATCTATTGATAAAGGACAAAAAGTGTTAAGTGCAAGCTTATGCTGATTCTGAATTGCTTTCTCATTTTTCTTTCCATTTCACAAAATTCAAGAATATCATGATCAAAGACTGGATATGTAGATTGTATTTTGTATAATGTTTCTGTTTCTTTCTCACCCTTTTGTGTAGATTCAATTTATTGGTTATCCCTCTCATTTTTTTTTTAACCTTTTGCTTCTTCTTTTTTACCTTACTTTGGTGATTTTGTCTTAGAAGCTAAATGTGAAATTAATTAACAAAGTGATTGTAATTTTACTAATAAATTAATTCTATGTGTCTGACAACGGGTTACTAAGAAACAACCTACTCAATGGCACTGTCAATATTGGGACCGACTTCAGTAGTGAGCTTCGCCTTTATAGAAATAATTTCATTGAAGAACTTATTTTAGGAGGATATAGTCACAGCATTCTGTAAGTACTACTGTATACATTGCTTTTGGTCTGTCTTAATCTTGAATTAATTCAGTTGTTTGTTGGTATCTATATGATCATTTTATTGCTGGAATAATTAAGAACCCATGTAATTTGTGGCAGACTTGATGACAACCTATTCTGCAAAAGTCAAGAAGCAATAGGAATCTGCAAGAATAGCAAACCATTGAAGGCTTCAAAGTTTATACCTGAAGTGCATTGTGTTTCTCTATCTTGCTTTACAGATTTAACAGGATCTGATTGTAGACGTCCCTATCTTGCTCGTCTGGTCTTTCTATCTTTTAACTTTTCTAATCTAGAAAATTTGGTTTACTATGACTTTTTGGATGGAGATCTAAATACTACTATTGGTTCCTTTGTTACAAAAATATGCTTGGTTAGTTCAATGATAGAAACTGAATTTGATTACCTTGTGTTGGAAATAGCATTATTTCCTCCTTCTGGCGTTCATTTTGATCAAACAGATATATTAGATTCTTGTTCATTTTGTCAAATTAATGCTCATTTGTGAGTGTGTTTGAATGTTTTAAATACGTTAGCCTACTAGCTCAAGGGTAGAGCATTGTGCAAATGCACAAAAGATGTGGGTTCGAATCCCACGTAGGTTCTTTTATGTAATGTGGAGACACAAGTTTGTATGAGAGTTTAATTGTAACAAAGTTTATATAGTTATAAATCATTTCAAACCATTTTTTTGCTCATATAATTTAGTACGAATTTGATTTTTTTTTTTTAAATTAATTTTGTTTATAGAGATAACCTATATAGGAATTGAACCTACATCCCCTATGCATTTGCATAGTGCTCTACCAATTGAGTTAATAGGTTTATCATATATTTTAATCAGCTCATTTGATAAATCAACAAAGAATTGTTTGCTCATTTGATAAAATGAACAAAGAATTGTTGCTCATTTGATAAATGAGCAAAGATTTTTGCTCGTCTGATAAATGAGCAAAGAATTATGTGCTCATTTGATAAATGAGCAAAGAATTGTTTGCTTATTTTGTTTATGGACAATGAATTTTGCTCATTTGACAAAATGAACAAAGAATTGTTGCTCATTTATCAAATGAGCAAAGAATTATTTGCTCGTTTGATAAATGAACAAAGAATTGTTTGCTCGTTTATCAAATAGTAATAACACCATTTCTTTACCACCTACTTGATGCTAGCCTTAGCTATCCTGCAATACACCACATGCCCAACTGCCTAACGCACTCAACAACAACTAGTGACACAGCATCACACCCATTCTCCCTGGCCACAGATAGCCCACACCATTCACACAACGCCCAAGGCCATAACAAATAAATCTTGCTGCTTCTGCCAAACATAACCCCCCACGCAGCAACTCTTCACGCAGCCATTAAAATCAAAACCACACAACCAAATAATACTTAACCACTTCCATCAACTCAGAAGTAAATGACATAAACTCAAAAGTAAATTACATAAGCAAAAATATATTAACATGGTTCAGATTTAGTGCGTATCTAGCTTCATCTATTATAGCGTCTCTGATATCACCTTTCCTTTACAACCAACCAACAGAAGATCACACAATACTTCGATTGCCATTCTAATTTAATGAGTAAAGAAATATTTGCTCATTTGTCAAGTGAGCAAATAATTGATTGCTCATTTCACAAATGAGCAAAGAAAAACTTGTTGATTTAATGAATGATTAAAGAAATGTTTGCTCATTTGACAAATGAGCAACTAACTATTTGCTCATTTGACAAATGAGCAACTAACTATTTGCTCATTTGCTAAATGACTAAAAAATTGATTGCTCAACTCCCAAATGATCAAAAAAATTGATTGCTCATTTCCCAAATGATCAAAGAAATGTTTGCTTATTTTACAAATAAGTAACTAATTATTTGCTTATTTGACAAATGAGCAAACTAATGGTTGCTCATTTCACAAATGAGCAAAGAAATGCTTGTTGATTTAATGAATAATTCAAGAAATGTTTGCTCATTTGACAAATGAGAAACTAAGTTTTTGCTCATTTATTAAATTAGCAACTAACTATTTGCTCATTTGCTAAATGAGCAAAAAATCGATTGCTCATTTCCAAATGATCAAAGAAATGTTTGCTTATTTTACAAATGAGTAACTAATTATTTGCTTATTTGACAAATGAGCAAACTAATGGTTGCTCATTTTACCACCCCACTTGATGCTAGCCTCAGCTACCCTGCAATACACCACATGCCCAACTGCCTAAGGCACTCAACAACAGCTAGTGACACAGCATCACACCCATCCTCCCTGGCCACAGATAGCCCACTTCATTCACACAACGCCCAAGGCCACAACAAATAATAAGAAAATGAGCAATTATTTTCTCATTTGACAAATGAGCAAGAATTATTTGCTCATTTGACAAATGAGCAAGAATTATTTGCTCATTTGACAAAATGAGCAAAGAATAATTTGCTCATTTGAAAAATGAGCAAATAATTGCTTGCTCATTTGACATCATACACAAGCCAAATAAGACAAATATTATGCATCATCTCTTATAAGAAAATCTTGTAATACTTGAGGGCTAAATAATAAGATAAATATTATGCACCAATTTATTCTTTGCTTTTGCTTATTTGTACATACAACCAAGAATTAGTTTGATCATTTGACCAAAGCTCTTATCTTACACCATAACTCCACCCTCACCTTATACCACAAGTCCACCCTCACCTTACCCAAT